CGATCCGGATGCGCCCGCCGCGCAGCTGGCCCGCGCCCTACTCCGAGCCCGCCTCGACCCTGCGGCCCTCGCGGCCCAGCTGGTCCCCGCCTCTGGGCTCCGACCGCGGCCCCCAATCTACGACGACGGCCCTGCGGGTCCGGAGACCGAGGATGCCAGCGACGACACACCGGATGTGGACCCCGAGCTGCTGAGGTAGCCGGCACGGGGTGGGCGGGAGGCAGGCGCTTGCATCCCGGAGTGGAGGTGCAAACACCTGGGTCTGGGTCGTTGGGACTCTAGGAAGGAGTAAGGCCCTGGTCCCAGGGTGCTGGGGCAGAGATGCTTGGATGGGGGAACTGAGGGACGTGCACTCTCGGGCCTGGGGATGAACGACTCCGATGCGCAGTTTCTGTGGGGAAGAGGGGAAGGTGGGGAAGGTATAGTTTCTGAGATGGAAGGTGGGGACATTTTCTCTGAAAGGCAGTGGACTGGGGACGCCGGGGTGGGGCGGAGGCTGGAGCTGGCGTGTCCCCAGTCAGTAGTATGGGGTTGCAGGGCCGTCTGGGTCCTAGGGCCCGGGCATTGACACGCTGAAACATCCTCACTGCATTCACTCTGCTCCCCTGCAGGTACTTGTTGGGGCGGATCCTGGCCGGAAGCGCGGACCCCGAGGCTGTTGCTGCCCCACGCCGCCTCCGCCGCGCTGCCGACCAGGATCTGGGTCCTGAGGTGCCGCCTGAGAGCGTGCTAGGGGCCCTGCTGCGCGTGAAGCGCCTGGAGACTCCCGCGCCTCCGGCGCGCCGCCTCTTGCCGCCCTGAGCACCGCCTGGATCCTGTGCGCCCTTGGGCCCTGGGCTGCCCCTCCCCGGACACTCCGACTGCTTCCCGCCGGTACGTCCCCGCCAGGTGCAGTTTCTGCCCTCGAACTCCAAGATCCCCATCTCTGGCCCCACAATAAATATGATCTTAATCAGTTATGCCTTTGTGTGAGTGGCAGTTTCTAGAGGGCTGATGGGCTCCGTGGCCATGGCCGCCCTTAGACCAGGAAAAGTGCCCCCTAGCCTCACTCCTGCACTTTAGAGACCCCTTCCTTAGTCTGTGCCTCAGTGGCAGTGCCCACCCAGATCCTGTGCCCCATTTCTAGGCCCCATTTCTTGGGTATGGGAAGCCCAGAAGTCTTTGGAGCCACTTTCAGGGTCGGCAGCAGCGTCTTCTAGGGTCCATCTTCCTGAGGACCGAGGGGTGGCTTGTCTACCTGCACTCGGGTGCCTCCTGATGTGGGGAGGGGCTACCTACGGAAGGGAAATTGACTGGGTTGCAAGCCAGTGCTCAACCCTCCCAACCCACTTACATTCTGGCCTGAAACTGAGGGGTACCAGAAATGAGAACCTGGGCCCCAAGGTCCTTAAGAAAATGTTATTTGTCAAGGTTGGAGGATAGGATGTATATTAGTTATGTAGTATAGAGGCCATTGCATCTGTATGCTTACCCAGCCCTGAAGATATTAGGAGTTTATGTGTTGGTAGCTGTTTTGTGGTTGTAGGCTTTGAACTGGTTATTCCCTCTACCCATAGTTATCTGCAAGTTTTTGCTCAAATGTCACCTACTCAGTAAGGCTTTCCTTGACCTACCACCTGTCACATTTTATCCCTTCACCTGCCTTTAATACATAGCCTTATGTCATATGTCCAAGAGCAGAAATTTTTTTAAGTGTTTTGTTTGCCTCTATACCCTTTGTACCTAAAGCAGGGCCTGGCACAAGCAGTTTCCCCATTTCTTGAATGAAATAATTCTCACAATTCAAGTAACATTCTTCCCAGTCTCACTCTCATCCACATAACACTTGGCATGGAGGCAGCTTTGAAACCTGAGAATATCATTTAATTTTGCACAAAATCTTTCAACTTGACAGAATATAACAGTATGCCCCACATTACCAAAAATCCTATCACCAAATGAAAACCTCCCCAGAAGAGGAGCCTATATCTATCCTCAGTACACCCAGTGTCCCACATAGCTAGTTGCTCAGGGGTCATATGTCAAGGAACCACCACCCTTGGCCTGGGGGAGGGTCCACTTTTCTTGACTAAGACCTTCAGCACAAGGAACAGCCACAACGGCACATGATCTTCCGGTGCCGGGCCTTATTTCTACCTGCCCCTGCCTCCTTTGCCATGGTCTCCCGGAACCTTTGGATTTCAAGGATGAGCAGAGAAAAGGCCTCCTCTACGCCTTGACGTGTCTTGGCTGAGGTCTCCACGAAGGGGGCCCCCCAGCTCTTTGCAAGGGCTATAGCAGTGGCACGAATATCTCCGGTGGTATTCGCAAGGTCGCACTTGTTGCCCACAAGGACAAGGGGCCGGGTGTAGTGAGGGCCCCAGGTGGCTCGCATCTGCTGCAGCTGGGTTAGAGATGAGGGGTCATCGAGGGCGAAGACACCCAGCACACCATCCCCAATAGCCACGCACTGGTCACGCAGGCCCTTGTGAATGGCCTGCCCTGCCGTATCCAGCACATTCAGAATGCAGCCCTCTTGGCCCAGGGCCACCTCCTTCCAGTAGGAATCCTGGATCGTGGGGTCATGATCTTCTACAAAGCACTGGTGGTTCAGCTGGATGGTCAACGCACTCTTGCCCACACCACTTGCACCCACCACCACCGCCTTGTACTCGGGCAGCTTCTTGCGAACATTCTCAGAGGGTGCTGGAGCACTGTGGCTCTCTTCCTGGGTGTTAAGGCTCCCGGTGCTCAGGCTCAGATCTAGCATGCTAGGCTTTGTTGGTAGCGCCATGCCCAGGGAAGAGATGTGCACAGCAGATCCTGCAACTTGGAAGAGAAGGAAGACAACAGTGTTGGGGGGGCGGGAGAGTAGGTTAGGCAAGGAGACCATTTGGGGGCAAGGGACAGCTGGTATCATTGAATCAACATTTACTGAATGCCTAGTGTGTGCTAATCACCTTCTAATATGCTGTGTATATTACCTATGTTGTTTATTCTCCCTTTCCCTTCTGTGACATAAACTCTGTGAAGGCAGGGATTTTTAAAAACAGCTTAATTGACATATAATTTATACACCATAAAGTTAACCTAGTTAAACTGTAAAATTCAATGAATTCTAGTTTTTTCATGGAGTTGTGCAATCATCATCATACTCTAATTTTAGAACATTTTCATCACTCCAAAAAGGAACCCTCTGCTCATTAGCAGTCCTGCCCCATTTCAGAGGGAGGGCAAGGATTTTGTCGGTTTTGATTTTAAATTTGAACAGTTGAACCCCAGCCCAGCATAATGCCTGTAATATAGCATGTGAGGAGTAAAATTCCTGTCCCCAGGGAGTTTTTATGTTCTAAAAGGTTGTGACAACGAACCAAATAAATAAGCAAATTATGAGGTACGTTAGCCATGATCTAGATATTCAACATATTGCTACTGTGTGGGAAGGCGGGGGTGGGGGGAGAATAGATAACAAACCCCAACCCTTAAAAATATGACAATCTAGTCAGGAAGACAGACAACAAAGATATTCCAGCAACAGGTGATGATTAGCATGCAGAAGGTGCTTGGTTAATATTAGCATTTTTATTATAATTTTTCATTCATTACTTCAAGAAGCTTCTGGCATGCCAGACATTGTAATGGGTGCGTGTGGAGAGGGGAGGTTGGGGGATGTGAGAGGTGTGGGGGTGGGGACCTGGCAGTGAACAAAATAAAGTTTCTGTCCTTGGGAGGATTAGATTCTGAAAGTGAGGAAGAGACAATAAACAAGATAAGCAAGTAAATTACCAAGCAATTAGAAAAGGACAGGCACACAGCAGGCGCTCAATTAGTGTTAGCAGCTATTAATAGAAAATCACCCGTTAACTCATTCAATACACATCCTGGTCTTATTCAATGTGTGGCCCCAGGAAATGCACCTTAATGCCTGCTACCAGTCTCTCTGAAACCTGGGAGCAGTGGCGGCTTGGCAGTAGATGGGGGTTTCATGTGTCCGTGGGGGTTTCTGTTGAGTTTGGGAGCTGGAGGTCAGGGTAGGGAAGCAAGGAGATCCAGCCATGGGATCCTCGGCCCAGAGAGATCCCTGAAACTAGTTATTGGATGTGCTCATCCAGAAAGAAGGGGGCCGTGATGAGGAAAGAGGTAAACAGAGGACAGAGTTCTGGGGGAGGGGGAGGCAGGAAGAGGGAGAAGATCTAGCTGTGAGGACTGAGAGGAGGGGACGAGGGCGGAAGCAATGAAGAGGGCACTGTAGTAGACCAGGTTGGAGATGACGGTGGGTGTGGAGAGGAGAGGTCCGATTCTGGTATATTCTGAAGGTGGAATTAACTAGCAGGATTTGCTGAGAGATTAAGAGGCAGGAGAGGGGGTCAAAGATGACTCCTCAGTTTGGGCCTGGGCAGATGGAAATCTAAGAGTGGGGACATGTGAGATGGGCTCTTCCCTCTTGGCGAAAGTCGCCATGACTGTGACTATGATCCTAAAAGCAGTAGGTATTATTTACTGAGAGCTTAGCTTGTGCTAGGTGACCCGCCTGCCATGACCACACTTAGTGCTCCTGACACCCCGGTGAGGCTTGGGCTATCATCACTGTGGCCCCTCTATTAACGAGGAACAGTAAGGCGCAGAGAAGTGAAGGGACGGCGGTGACTGGCCCGAGGTCCCACAGCCCATCAGAGATCAACAGAAGTCTCACCCTTCACAATAATACAGAACCACTGGCGGTGGAAAGTGCTATTGGAGTGTCATTATACGGTCCTTGAGACCCCGTGACCCCCCCCCCCACCCCACCGCACCCCCACCACCATCCCGGCTGCCTGAACTAAGTCCTTTGTGTGTCCTTTGTGTTCCCCTAATTGATCTGGGGGATGAGCTGGGGGGGGGGGCAGATTAAGGGAGAGTGGGGGGTAGGGGGACCACACTAATGCGGGCCCTTACAATCCCCCTTTCAGGGCTAGCTCGGGACAACCTCACCAGGTCACACTTCCCGTGACTAAGCTAGGTATGGTGGAAAGACTGGGGCGGGGTGGAGTGACCCCCCAAGTTTCACTCTAAAATCCTGACCCTGTGCTCAGTCTGGACCATATTGGCCAGTTTTTCTTTAGGGGGAACAGGGTGGGGTGGGGGAAGGGACCTCTCTCCCGCCCTGAGGCTCAGTCACAGCACCGCTTCCCGCCCGGCGCGGCCCCTGGCCCAGCTTGGCCTCCACAAAGCCGACCGCCAGAGGGGCTGGGAGATGGAGGCTGGCTCCCGAGGAGGGGCAGTGGAAGGGGAAGGATACCTGCAAACACCAGCTCAGTCGCGCCCCCAAAGCCCTAGGTGGAAAGCCCTCCCAGGTTGGGGCTAGGCTGGGGGCCCAGCCAGCCGGCTCACCTCGGTGCTGAGAAGCGGTAGTGCTCGGACCCGAACCCGCTGCAGCTCTGACAGGACTGACAGGGAAGGAGGTGTTGCACCAGCCCCAGAGCTGGGGGGTGGGGTGGGGTGGGGGCGGGGGTACGCATGCGCGGCCCGCCCTCAGGCCCCTCCACAGGCGCAACCCCTCCCCTCACCTTCCCCCTCCCCGCCCTGGGGTGAGCGCGGGTCTTGGCCCCGCCTGCAGGTGAGCACCTAGGAGGTCTGCTTGGAGTGTGCTGCTGGCGGCGGCCAGACCTCCCCGCAAGCCCCGTGTCCTGCTGCACCTGGCCCTTACCTTGCCTCCAACTGGGTTGCGGCTTTGGGTTTTTAGTGTGTGTATGGTGTCAGATTTTTGACCTGAGTGGCCAGACTTTGGAAAATGTTTTGCGAGTGCCTTTTTGAGGCCATGGAGCCTGCGCTACCTCAAGCAGGCTTTTTGGGGTCTTGGAAGTGAGTAGTGTCTG